AGTTACAAGATATAGTTATAATTAACTATATAGTATATATTATATTTACTATACATATAGTGTATATATTATATATATTAAATAGTTATAGTTACAAGAGAGTTACAAGTATAGCACTGTCTCTAGAAAGTCTTGTGATTATATTTAAATATCATGAGTGTTAGCTAATGGTGTCCAATTGCATGATATGGTGGATTTTTCCTCTAATAAAAATCCCAGCAGTAAAACTGGTGATGAGACTGCAGATGATAATGCTTGAGCACCTGATCATAGACTCCTTAGAGAAAGATAGCAAGCATGGCAAAGCTGGATAATGTGGGAGCATTCATGTAACACAAATCATGGCAGCACCAACCTCCCTTTTTGAATTTACTAGTATTTACAGTTCGATAACTGGTAGCTAATTTAAAGAAAATTATTTCAACTTTTAAAAATAATACAAAGATGTCATATTGATTATTTCAGACCTTATCTTATGCGTACTTTTGTGCCTCAGTCAATCAAGCTCCTGAAATTCAATATTAAATAAAGGACATTTTTAATTTTTAAACAATTAATTATTGGTTAACTTATCTGCTTTACTAGTGCTTACAGTAACAGTCTGCGATTTATAGTCCTTAAGGGAAACTTGCAATTCTCCACTATTATTAAAATTTTGCAATACATTAAATTGGGTAAAGGAGAAATTAGCAAGGCCTGTGATACGTAATTGAGTCACTACCTATGAAACTATGGGAAATGCTGTCATGCTTCCAAGGTGATCGTCCTTGAAACAATGACTCCCTTTGATCACTAATGAACATCAAAATACACAGACCTAGAAGTTAAGGTATGTGCAAATGCTTTAACAATGCCTACACACAAATAGTATAAGCAGATTAACTATTTGTAGAATAAAAAAAAAAAAATAAAAAGAAAGTAAGAAGAGAAAGCTATGCTGAGCATTAATTTGAGTCAACTCACACTAATAGCTTTAAATGTAGACATTAACATAGTTCCCAATTTAATTTATTTAGTAGAAGTGACCACCATACAACCTTTATTTTGGAAAGCAGAAACATGGATGACAGTGGAGATAGATGCATACAGATGACAATCCAGAAGCAGAGCACATATTCAACAAGTAACACCGTGAAAAACATAAATTATAAAACCCCATGCACGGTAGAGCAGGAGGCAAACCCCACATTTCAGACGCTGCTGGTTATCAACATGGCCAGGTTTATGTATCACAAAATGGGTCAGAACAGGAGAACAAAGTCATTGGGGATTACCTCAGTAGGTGTTGGAGAGAGCAACTGAGGTGACTGCAAACAGCAACACACAACAAATTAGTGATACAAATTCATGCATGATGTTACTTGTGAGAAGAACTACTCTTAAAATATCAATATCCATGTATAACACATGATAAGGTTAGGAAAAACACCTGTCAATTAAGTTAGGGCAACATTTCTTTTTATTTGTTTTTAAATAAGTAAATAAGGAATAAGATATACATAATTTCATACGAAGCTTTTGTTGATTTCTCTACTACAAAATCCTGGTTTCTGGTGAGGCTAGTTTGTGATCCAGAGAGTGCTGTTAGTAGTGAAACTTCCACTTAAAGCAACAAGCCCTAGTTAAATCTGTGTTGAAGCACCTCCAAAATCCAGACTAGAACTTTGTTGTTCAGAGTTGGCTGTTCTAAAAGAGAGCAAAATAACTTTACTATTTAATTTTTAATTAAACATCATGTAATTTGATGCTTTTGCCTTTAAAAATTAAACACTGTGGATTTTTTTTAGTTGCGCGAACCCACTGAAATCATTGCAGCTGCAGGTAGTAGCCAGGATGCTGAAACTTGGCAAACAGGATTACGTTTCTTCGCCTGGCAATATCAAAGATATAAATATTTGGAGCATCAGGAAAATGCACGTTTGATTGCGAGCACAGCCCAAAATCACCTCAAAGCATGCAAAGACTGAATCCTCACAAGGAGCTGGGCAGAAGGTTGTTTAGCCTATGCACCTCTGCCAAATCTAGGTGTCACCTCGGCCAAGCCCAGAGTCACCGTCGCCAAGCCTAGGTCTAAATAGGCAGTTGAGGAGGGCCACAGATATTACACAAATTTTTATACAGGAAGTGTTTATATTCCACAGATTCAGGGCTAGGCAGCAGCACTCTTCTGTTCTGTGAAATCGGAAACCTAAATACCATTTAAACTCTTTAGGAGACAAAATCTTAATTCTTTCAGGATGCATTATAATGGAGCTACTGTGGTTCAGCTTTGTACAGAGAGGGTTTGGAAGAGAGTACACAAAACTTAATTCACCTGAGACTAGTACTGAGACTGCCAAGTATAAAAAGTGTAAGTGATAGCAGGACTGGGGCTACTGTATGGCTATTATTTGTAACATTTACTGCTATCCATTTGCTTACATCTATGGAGAACAAAACAGACTTCCATTCTAGACCATATATATCTTGCTAATATACTTAGTATATCTAAAATTAGAAAATAAATCAGAAATTCAAACAAAAGTTAAATACGGTTAGGGAAGAAATGCTAACTTGAATGACAGGGTTTATATACAAATATGCTTCACAAAAAACAGAATTAGTAAGAATATGTTAAACTAGATTTCATTAGCACAAACTAATATTAGCCCTGTATATGAATAGGCTGAAATGCATGCATGACATAAGGATGAACTTTAGTAAGGGACAGTTGAAAGAAATTTGCGCATAAGAAAGTGATACCATTGTTTTGTTACCAAAATAACATGGTACACTTCAAAAAAAAAAAAATCATGGAAGACATTTGGCTTCGCTTCTGATTTTTTGCCTTATAATTAGCAATGGCTCCTGTGTCCTACCACATGCATGGAGAACTCACAGAAAAACATATTTTAATTACATGTCATCTGTTTAAAAAATGATCACAGAAAGCAACTCTTTAATTTCCACCAACTTAAAAGTGAAATGAACACATTGGGCTTTTTTTGGAAGGCCCTGTGAAAGAATGGATGACATGACTCAATTAACTGAAGATATAAAAGTTACAATTCTTTTTTTAAATTATGCACATCTTTAAGAGTGTTCAGCAACATGTTTAATGGTGCACATAAACTCTCAAATTTGTAGTAAAAGAAATACCCATGTTTCAGTACCTCCCCGTAACTATGCCTGTCATCTGAAGAGTAACTGATATATGGAGAATAGGAGATCATATCTGGGCGGTCAATGTTATAGATGGCTTTATTTTTAGGAAGAGCAGCCAAATCCCTGTAGTCAAGAATTTCATCTCCAAGCTTTGCCTAAGAAAAGGAGGAAAGAAAGCAGTGAGAATAGGAAAGAATACGATCAGGATGCAATCAGAAAAGGACAGATAAGTGTAGGCAGAAAAGTCATCATAATAATAAACCATTTTTTCTGTTTGTGCAAACTTCAATTTCTTGTATTTACTACATAATGCTAAATATCACTGTTGTTTTTATATACAGGTGCCTTCTACTTTTCTTTGTCACTCACATTTGGCTAACGTGAGTAGCATGGCATCACTACAGTCTCCTTGGTTATACGGCATTTATTACTAGCTGCACAAAAAGACAGAGGGAAGAGCTATCGCACTCTTTTTCAAGCAAAACAGTTTCAGTATACGGAGTATGCAGGGTTTCCCAACCATAGGCAGTAGTGAATAAACAAATATTTATTTCCAACATACACTCTCCAGATGCTGAAGAGCATTAGCCAGGTCTTTAATTTTTCCCATTCAGCTGTGTCACATAGCTTCGCCTCCTTTCCTGACTAGATCTGAGTAACCCTTATTTATGGGTCGCAAACCCGCAGATGATGAATCGGCGCTGTGGTGGATTAGTGGGAAGTTCACAGATGCCACTTAAGTACAGTTTAAATCCTTTCATGAAACTCACAAAGCCAACAGAAGGAAAGGGCTGCATCGCTGCCCCTTCTCCTCTTACTAGTCTCATTCCTAAAGTATCGTTATCAAAATGCCACATTTGCAGAGATTATCCTCAGGATAACGGTAACTTGCACCAAAGGTGTATCCAGCACATACTGTCTTGTAGATATGACGAAGAGTTGGCCACACTTAGAATAAAGAAGTGGGCAGCTCAGTTGTCTCATTCCCTGTTCAGGCTTTGCAGAATGATAATCTGGTCGCTGGCAACAGAATGATGAGTGAATCTTACTGTTGTCTGAAGATCTCACAATGAACTGCTATAAACCCATAATAATGGTTTCCACATGCAAAAATATGAAGATATCCAGGATTTATGTGAGCAGGGATTATATTTTTTCTTACTATGAGCTAAGAAAAGTTTAACAGATTTTCCAGGGAAGTTGTTTACTAGGTTAATCATGCAGGAAAAGTTTAGTGTGACAACTTTCAGTTATCCCTTTTTCTAAAACAATGTACGAATTTGTGCAAGCATAAGCAACATGGAAAGGAGAAAGACTTCTGTTAGCTAAGACAGTGGAACTAAGCTGCTATAACCATCACATACCCTCATCTTCAAAACTAGTGACAAAATATGTTTTAATCAAATATGTGATTCTTCAGTGATCTACACATCTCACCTTCCTTGCAGCTACTTTAAGAAGCTAAAGAGCAATGAAACAGCCCCTTAATGAATATAAATTCCTCCCTACTGGGGAGCCCGTGGCAAGCTCTGATGGAAAGACAGGTCATGCAAAGACAAGGAGAGTTTGTCCATCAGGTCTGTTCCAGGAAGACTTTGGGCAGCACTGTACCTAGAGGGACGACCAAAGAGGCTGAGGTAATATTTTTAAGTATCCAGGACTCTGGAGATTATTCTAGTGAACTCAAAGAAGTCTAGAATTTTGAATACTTAAGTGTGAATTACAGTAACTTTAGCACCTATCACTTCATGTGGATGTGCAACTTGAGATCCTCGCACTAGACTTCAAAACTGTCAGGAGTAAAAATTATCTAGTTACTTAATTCCTTTCAGTTTAAATATCAAAGTGTTGGCAAATTTGAATGAAAAAGACCTTAGAGATACAGTTGCTTTCTAAACAGTCAATTCTATAAGCATACAGTCTACATTGATTTCTATTTAATTTGTTTCAAATAATACTTTCAAATACATGAGTGGAATTCAAATATGCTAGACAAGGCTCAAATTACACCTAAGAGGCAATATTTTGGACTCTGCTAAAACCATGCTCTAAGTTTAGAGTATCTATTCCATTTGGAATATGTAATTTTACAATTGTATGATTGCAGATATGATCTGTATAAAAATACAATGGGCTTTCTATTCCTTGTATGAGAACATAAAACACATCTATGTAACCTAATCTAAATCTTCCTGTTCAATATATCACACTGAGGCATCTAATTCTCTCTTCATCAAACTTAGCTACATATAGGGAAGGACTTTTATTTAAGAGTTATTTAATGGCATAATTTAGAAATCAACTAGTTTTTAAGTGGTATTTAGGGACTTTGAGGTGATGTCAACACTAAGAAAAATTTCAGTCTGGATATAATGAAACAATCACCACAAGTCATGAAAAGATGCCCAGTCACTTCAAATGGCCATCAGCCTGTGCTCCCTCTCAGTGCAGGAAGACATTAAAGTCTGGTATCAGCAGATGGAGAGAAGGTGTGTCGCTTCAATCAACTACCTGTATGAGCCACATTCAGGTTTAGTCAGAACATGCTTTCTTCCACCTTTCCGTAGCTGACCACTCAACTATGACTCAGAAACGTGCCTCCTGTGAGATGGCAGGTTGCTCACAATGATTGCATTGCTCTGACTCGATGTCCTTGAAAGTATGAGCACCATGAATTCATGGTTCCTAAGCTTGAACAGCTTTCTCTAAATTCTCTTTTGTTCAACATGATACTCCACAGAGCTCACCAGCTGACAGGGAACAGTTCTACTACTGGTTTTAATAATTCAAATCCATGCTACTGCTGAAAGCAGCTGTCCTGTGTGTGCCTTCTACATCAGCATTAGAAGACTATTGATAGATGTGTCTTTTTTGCCTCTTTGGTTGGCTGGGGGTTTTTCTTGGGTTATTTTCAGTTGAATCTGGCCTCCAGTCTGACTGATCATACCTCTGTGTACCCACCAGTACTCATATTAAAGAGGAGAGATGGGAAGACATGGCCAGAGAGGGACAGGGCTACACATGTTTGGAACTTTCCTTTTAGTGGCAGAATGACTTCAGGTTTGGTGAAACCAATCATGAAAGCACCCAAGACAAATCTTGAGCATATCTGTATGTTATTGCACTCCTGTAATAGAAAACAGATGCAAAAGACAGACAGAGAACCATTTTGATAATACGGAAGTCCAGTAACATGTTTTTAATTCTTTTCACTTTACTGTTTGTGAAAGCCAAAATAGGATTTAATCAGTCTCACAGCTTTGACAATTAAGCAGTCAGAGACAAGCCAGATATAGCAAGAACTTGCACGCCTCTGGGGAACCTTTTTTCCTAATTGACTTATATTTGCTAGACAACTTTTTTCTTTCACAGTCCCAGCTGCCTCTGAAGTATATTACAGTAACAAACATCGGAGTTGTGTGCTGATTTGTCCTTGACTTTTAAAAGCCTGTGAAGCATATTTAAAGCTGTAATCACACACATCAAGAAAAACAGTACCGTCCAACAGTTAGATAAATGTCACTAAAACCATATAAATCTCAGAGGAATGGCCTTGCTTATAAAAACAATGAAGTGGTGCACAGCTGTAGAGAAAGGGACCATCTGGCCAAAGAAAGTGCTTATATGATAATGGGCTCCTAGAACAATGAACTGTCTTGACAGGAGTGGAGGCAATGCCTTATTTTTACTGAGAATACACCACTGGTGTCCACCAGCATGCAGTTCTACTAGAAGGAGAACTCAGGAACACTCTCTCATTTTCAGCCCTGTATTTGAGATAAGGGGCAGTTTCTCCATTTCTACTTCAGTCTTACTCAGACAAAGGGTATATTGCATTCAAAATAATTTTTACTTGAAGAAAAAAGACAAGTTTGGCTCCAAGGCACTCTTTTGCTTGTCTCAGTGTATTAGATAAAAGCCCTTAATCTTTGTATAATAACCTCTTCGGCAGTAAATCACATTTCCAGCAATTTCCCCTGCATATGGTCCTATCTGATGAGAATGGCCTGCCTAGCTGTGGGATACTTGGAGAGGACAAAACATAGCCTTAGCAAATACTGAAGCTCTCCAAGAGATGTTTGCAGGGATCATGCCATACCTGCGCATAGTTTTTACCTACTGGTAGCCTTGAGAATTTGGCCAAGAACATTAGTGACAGCAATTATGACAAGCCTTTATCATACTTGTTATTTTAAATTCTTTCTATGAGCTTTCCAGACCTAGTACTTCTTAAACCACAAACACATCAAAGGTCCTCTGAGTTTAGGGACTGGTACTTCTCAAGGTCCGAGTCTTGCAATCACATGCACAAATGTTTTCATAAGCAATCAGATGCAGGCTCAAGAGCTTGATTTAGATGAGGTGCACTCAAATCTAAGCTTGTAATCTATCTGTGGGCTGTAGTGTTTACCTAAACTTTTCCTTTTAGAAACCGCTGCAGTATTTTGCATGCTTTGGTTTAAGCCAGCTTAAGCCATTAAGTGCTATAAATACACCACAAAAAATAAGAGGAAACTCCCAGAATTCTGTTACGGCAAATGCAGTCTTCAAACATTTTAAACATGAGAAAGTAAATTCCATTTTAGAGGAATCACCAGCTACAGAGTTTTTAAGACACCAATTTTCCACAGTGTGCTAAACTGTAGGAAGATGCACAGGGGGTTCCTCATCCCATGAAACTAATTTCACTGTGAAATACTCACATAGATCACACGGCTTGGGGAACCTGATGTACTTGATGCAGGTACAGAAATAATACTCTCAGAGGAAGTCCTTGTTTCCTATGGCAGAAGAAGAGAGGTGAAACAGATAAGAAATAGAGGTGAAGGAGAGAAAATGTAACTGTTACTTCAAAAGGAGTATGCAAGGCATTTCGTTTTATTTAACCTTTACCACTTAGAAAAGGCATATTACAGAGAGCTCAAAACACACCGGCATTCCAAGGAACTGAAAATAAAAGAATAATTTCAGTCAATCAAATTAACCTTTTGAAAATGCAAAAATGATTTTACATAAGACTTTCTTTTCCCCTCCCTTCAAAATGAAATGGCCTAGAATACTTCTGGGCTGCTAGGACAGTCTTTGGGCATCAGGGACAAGTAAAATTAGAAGATGATACTTTTGTATCAGTGATGATGCAGCATTTTACTTCTAAAGTTATACCATCAAACCAATCTACGTTGCTTCTGGAACGTGTCATGATACCATTTCATTCACTCCTAACAAACAGTACAACATTCTGAAGAGCACCCTGAATTAGACACCTAGCTGGTTAGCTTCCCCCTCTCTGATGGTAAAACTAACAGAATAATTTTAACACTCAACTGGTCTTGCTCTGTTTTCAATCATTCTGGCATTGAGTGAAAGATTTTTATTGCTTTCTCTTTGGAGATTCCTTTATATATGAAAAATATAATTACATTTCAACAACAAAGGGTTGTGGGACACAATGATATTAACAATGAGCCAAGAGACTTGATAGTCGCAATTGAAGTTTAAACAAATCCTACTATGAAATCAAGGTTTATACCCTCTTTCAGCCAAGTATGTTAATTCTTGGTAAATATTTATTCCCACCATTGGAAAACCTGTCCTTGACTGCAAGAAGTACACATTTGACCATGTGCTTAGTGTCTCACCAAAGACTGACACTTCTTACCTGGAGGTTACAACCACTCAAATCCTTAAAAAGACTTTGGCATTGTGAAGCTGTCAGGTCAAGGTACCATCCTTCCTACTAGTCCAGTCTTTACTTGAAGTATTTACTAGATTTCAGCAGCAGTATGTGAATGCACCTGTACCATACTGTGTTAGCAGTGCAAACAAGCTAAATGATCACAGCTATTCTTCCACTGATCTTCTTTAGCCTAAATGGTCCTGAGACAACATGTGAATATGCTTATCCTATAAAAAAGATCCCTTCCAATTATTTTGGCATGTCTGACTGGGATTTTTGAAACTTTCTCTCTTATTTTCAGTTGTCTCACACTAAAGCCCTGTATACACTAAGATGGTCCAAGAGAACAAGCATGGAAGTAGAGTATTATCTGAGAAATACTTGTGGCTGCCACTGAGATGATTATGTAATGCAGACAGTGTAATTGCACTGCTGTTCTGCATAGTTAAAGCACATTGTAGTTTTCCAGAACTTGTATAAACAACATGAAAGTGCCATCAGTGCACTGATATCACGTGCAAACCATACTTCTCTTTCATGATGTCCCTATAGGAGGAAAAATGTGACAGATTAAAAAAAAAAAGGAGAAAACTGCACTATGCCAATGTTTTAAACCCTGTTAAAGTCCAGTGACAGTTTTGGATTAACCTCAGCATTCCCTACATAAAGCTTCAGACAATCCTTTGTCATGTGCATCAGTGGAGTTGTAGCATGACCTTAAAACACATAACATAACCTATATGAACATTCTTAAAACTCAATTAATTCCTGGAGTCTTTCCATGGGCTTTCCTCAACTTAGAGGTGTCATCTTGTTTTTTAAGAAGAACTACAACTCACTCAAATTTCTAACAAAAGAAGTATAGAACGTCATCTTTCTAAAGTACTTCTGCAGATTGCTTTAGTGCTTCCTTACACTATTCAGTTACTCCCACAAATTTTCCCATTTTTCTTCCTGGTGATTAAAACCTGCTCATTCCACATCTCACACATGCTCTTTATTCTCTGCACAATCCATTACACCTGTAGTACCCCCAGCTCATGCCTACTGTACATAAGCTCCTAGCCTTTGGCTCCATCACCACTGTTCAGTTCTTTTCTCTGTACTATGTGTTTTAATTCTTCCCCCACCTACCTCTTTTTCCTTTATGCCTTTGTATAATCCCTATACTTTGGCATGCTGCTTTTGATTTCCTCTGTCTTTTTCAGATTCATCCCTTCTGCTTACAATCTCACTCTCCCGTCATTCCTCGTTTTGCTGTCACTCTCTTTCACAACTACTTTTCCCCTTCCACTAAATCTCCAAAGTTCTGGAGTGTTACCACTTACTCCTTCTGCCTTTGTCACCTACTTTAATTACATGCTGTGCACGTATCTATATACAGAGAGATAACTTTTAAAAACAACAAAGTGCAAAAGTTGACCAGAAAATTTCTCAATCACTATATCCCATTCCCGACTTTACAACCTCCAACAACAAGTTACATTGAAACATCCCTTACTACCCTTTTTGAAATGTAAAACTTTCTTCTTGGTTTATTTTTTCAATAACAAGCATTAAAAAAGAGGAAAACCCTAAGGAAAAGGAAAAACAGCTAGACTTGGGAAAATCCTCTGAGCTCTATTCTGTTTTTTTTCACTACACAGGCAAAACTCCCTCTGACTTTCAGATACAGATGTCTTCCTCTCTGCTGGGGAAGGGCCAAACTCCCAGCGCTCAGAAGAGATGTGTCATAAATGAGTCAGCCTTTAAGTATATTTTAAAGTATATTTTCTTTGCCTTTGTGAGAAGGTATTCAAGTAGGCACTCAGTAAAACCTTGTCCGCTGCCTTTCTTTGAAGGAGGGGAAAAGACCCCCACCAAATCCTACTATATTTTCAACACATTACATGAGGCTTTAGCCTTGCAATTTCAGTTACTCAGAGAGAATAAAATCCTTCACAAGTCTGAAATACTGCTTAATAGTATTAGGCCGAATCGGCAGCACTTATTAAAGTATTTTGACAATTTTAAAGATACATGTATTAAACAATACATTTTATAGTGAAATACTCATTTGATATTCAGAGCTCCTCAACAACAGTAATCACTTCCCAAAGACACGGGGACAAAAACTACAGCCCAAAATCGTCAGGGTAAAGCTCAAATCAAATTTTTCCAAAACTGTAATTTAGTCAAAGTTGCACTTGCTAACACACCAGATTTGTAAACACTCTTTTTATAGCTGCTGCCAGCTGTTCTGACTTGTCCCATGCGCCTTCTTTCCCAGTCTTGAAGAATCAAAGCAGAGCTTTTCGGAACAAGGATACCAAGGGTACCGCTTGGATCATCAGAGAAATATCAGAACTGAAAAATCCCATACTTGGCCTCAGCATTTAATGAGATAGTTCTATCTCAGTCCCACCACTTCAGAGGAATCATTTCCCCAGCTACAGATTAATTCTTCATTTCCTAGGGGCAGCCTATTCATCTGCTAACCTTGTAATTATTAAAGTTGCCAGAACTCCCCTCTTTTCCCCTTGCACAGAGACAGATGCACAAATCATCCAATTTAAGGAGGTACTTAGAGCCAGAGATTAAATTAAGTTGGGGCTGGCTTGCCAACATTTTACAAACAAATAATAAAAAAGAAATTCCAAGGAGATATTTTTTTTGTAAAAACAAATAAAGTGAAAGTCCTCTGATCTTCTAAGTGCAGAGTCACATAAAAAGAGAAGAGGTCATGCACTGATCACATCATAATCAGACAGAAGTTAAAAATTAACCTCTTTTTTTCTTTTTCATATTTTTGCATTTCTCGTTATTCAGCTTATACATATATATCTTAGGTCAGCATTCTGAAGTTGTAGCTTTAATCACTAAGTAAAAGCAGTATATTTATAGTACATTACTACATTGCATTAACTTACTAGATTTCAGTCACTTGAAATTTAAACTTACAGTACTGAAAAAATTTCAAATTCACCCATCCATGCCCGCTGCAAAAAAAGTGATAGAGAAAAATATGCCACTGAAATAATATTGCATAAAAATATGGTCTTTTTACCTTGTTTTTTTCTTCAGCTTTTGCAGCCTGTCTACAAACTGGATGCCAAATGGATGTACCTAGAAAGTAAACATGAAGTTCTGCTTAATTCTGTCCTCTAATAAGAACCTTAAAAGGTTTTAAAGAACCTTATTAACCCTTCTTGTAAGATTTTGTAAGACACAGCATACTGACTGATTCCCCTGCAGTCATTATTTCAAGGATATTTCAAAGCTAAAACCAGTAACTTCTCAGCACCAGTAACCCTGATCATATACATTTTAAAAACTAGATGCACTTCAGAAAGCTACTTGTGCTTCAATATAAAAGATCAACATCCAAAACTTGAGTCTTAAGAAGTGTGATATGGGAACTCTGGACCTTCGCCAGCCCAACCTCTGGCCAGAGCAGGTCCCATTACAGCAGGTAGCTCAGGGCTGTGCCCAGCTGAGTTCTGCAGATCTCCAAGGATGGAGATCTCACAGCATCTCTGAGCAACTTGTTCCACTCACATGGCACTTTTTTTCTGCTTATATGTAGTTAAGAGTTTCCTGCACTCTTATACATGTTCTTGTAACAGTCTGGCCCAGATCACACTAAGCAGCACACTGTGATGTGATGGAATTGCATTGTGGCATTTAACACTAGATGAAAATCCAGTCCTTCTTTCTGAATAATTCACTGTACTGATCTTACACTTCCTGTATCTTTGTCTCTCATAAGACAAATACTAAGGAACTGTATAAATTCAGGGGACTATCCATTCTGAAAGAAGCAAGAAGCACAGAATGAACCAATTTTCTACTGGATCTAAGTACCAAAGATTATGAACTCCAGAAATAACTAAACAGTAAGTATGAGAAAGAAAAACATCTTTTTAAAAGTTGAACACAGTCTCCAATACACAGTGTTCAATGGAAGTGAAATGTGTGTAACTATATAAAATAAAACAAATTTGTAAATTTTAATGGTAAAAAGGAACCTTTCTGTTAATGCCAGTCTGAGCTCAGGGAGGCCACACACTAAAGCTCTGCACAGTTAAATAAGGTGAGTGCACTGCAACTTCTGCCTGACTAAATGGCAAGTTGAGAACCTTTGTGTTATAAATATTTAATGTTTATACTGGGTGGAGAGCACCAAGAAGAGTTATTGGAAATTATTGTTTTCACAGCAGTTTGATAGTTTCCTAACCAGTGGATTTTGGAAACAAGATAGAAACACAAAGTCTATTTCCCAGAAGACAGATGGAGATCATTAGAATTTATTTCAGAAAAAATAACCCATATGATCCGAGACTCAAGCAGTAAAAGACTATTAGTACAGATCGGACAAATCATGTTTATTAAGTTACTGAAGGTTTTTGGGACCAAACCACTAAGAAACATCTTTACAGCACCTTTAAATTCAATGCTAATTTATCTTCCAATTAGGACTGGGTCTGAGCTTGCCCTCTAAAAGCATTGGCCGAACTGCTGCGTAAGTTAATGTAAATCTTCTCAATGGTTTTAAGAAGTACTTGGATCAACTTTTTTTTAAATTACTCCTATCTGCGGTCAAGCAAAACTAGCTGGAAAACTTTTTTCCACCGAAGAAAGAGAGTCCTTTCACACGGAAGTCATCTGCTGGATGACCACTGATGACACAATTTCTACCATGGAACATGCAACACCTAATGGAACTTCGCAGTGGTTTACTAATAGGATCAAGAACAAGTTATAAAGCTCTGGGCTCTGACATTTTTTATTATCTAGCACATCAAGTCAGGCAGTCCAAATATCTCCTCACAGACCTTTCAAGCAGTTAATACCAGTTTCTGTAAACCGTTAATCACATGAAGACAAAAAGTGTATGACAGTAAGCTGGTATGAATGTTTCATGCATCAGAAAATAAAGTAAAATGGGTCCAAATTAACAAGACCTGAGCATACTTTGTGATTATTCGAATTAAAATCAGCACAACACCTAAAGAATATCCACCCTTATAACAAACTGAACTTAAAAACTTAAAAAGAAGATTCACTTGCAACCCAGTTTAAGAAGGCTTGAAACGTCCAAACACATTTGTTTGATATCTTTTTTTAAACTACTGATTTCCCAGAGGATTTTAGTATTGCTACGATACTTTGCAGCTGGAAGAACCACAGCATTCGCTGGCTCCTGAGGGAGAATCCATGAGTACAGACAAGGATCATTATGTCCTTTAATGAGCTAGTTCTTGTTTCAAACCAAAGTGACAATAAAATTGTCATTTCAAATAACATACCAGATTATAATCAGATTTTACTGAGACCACTGTTGTGTTTTAAATAAAGTTTAACTTTTCCAGCTTCCAGAATGATTTCAAAGTATGCTTCTAGAAAACTGTGGACAATTGCAAAGCTGTAATACAGATCTGGGCAAGCATGTGATTTTAAGATAATACACCAGCATTGCAGTTCCCACATTCTACTGAGTTTCTCTTTTCTGTTTTGCTCTGAAAAGAAACTGCAAGTCAAAGACATAGCCAAAAGCCTTCATTTTCTCTTGTGTCTCACCCTGTACTTAACTGTGTAGATATTGTTTTCTTTTATCAGTTTAGTATAGCTAAAAGTTGTTACATATGAAATACAGATTTTAGCTTGGATCAATGTTATTTTTTTTTCCCCGTTGAATAAATTATTGTGCAAGTCCTTCTCTATTACTACTGAAATTCCCTGACAAGAAACACTGAATTTCTGCCACGTGAGATCATGGCTGTGCAAGGTATAGGCATATGGAGCGGTAAAGGCTTCCACTCCACAGAAGTGGAGTGTGCTCTTCTCCACTCTGAGGGCACTTTGGTCTGACCAAGGAGAATTCAGGCAAGGACCTTCAGATTTCCTCCCAAATCTGCAATGGGTACAGAACTGGTCTAAGGACTGCAACAGTATCTTTAGGGAACCTTCTGGCACACATGCGTGTAAACTTTTATGTGGACCATGAATCATTGCAGAAAAATCACATTATTTTATAAATCACATAATTTTATAATCTCCACTGTCAAGTACTTGCATCTGCAGGAAATAATGGCTACCACTCATGCTTTCTGCAATTTACATTTGTTATTGGATTTCAACTGTGAGAGAAGGAACGAGTGAGTAAGAAGCATTGAGGGTTTGCTTTTGCTTTTCCTTAGCCTCCACATTACATTCTTCACTTTTTTTTAGTAGTTATGAAGTCAGAACAAGCACAGAACAGCCCAGCCATGCTAGCAGGCATGGTCAAGAGGGCCATGCTGCCACGTGTAACTGTGTGGTTTTGGTTTTACCTTGAAGATACATTTCTTCTCCTTCTGCAAACATCTGACTGCACCTGACACATCGTGCGCACGTTGGGTGATAATGTTTTTCTCCTGCCTGTTTGGGAAAAAAAGGTACAGATTATTAAGTATATTAACCAATATAGCAGCCTCACTATGAGGAGTTTTTCTAGTCTCGACTAGACGATCTTCAGAGGTCCCGTTCAACTCCTACCATTCGGTGAGCCTGTGATTCTGTATGATTAATCCTCTACAATATGACTAATTAGAGTAAATTAGTTAATGTCAATTAGTTCAACAATCTCCTATAACCACAATGCTTATTTTTTATTACAGGCAATTTATGATTTAACATGTAATTATGGTCTCACCTACACAAAAAAGTTAATGTGCAATAGTTAAGTCTCTGAATTTCCAGAATTGAAACAATTTCATATATTGAATACATTTTCCTTGCAAACAACCATACTGTGCACCAAGTACAAAGTAGCTTAGCACGAAGAAGCTGGAAGGTCATAACCTTGAGGATGGATTTAAAACTCAACTGTATGTTTGTCATGATCCCACTGAATATATAATCTTAATGCACGCAAGAACTATCTTGTGCAACGAATGTTTGCACCTCCTTTGGAAGTGTCTTGCAGGTAACAGGTATTAAGTGGTTTCCATGAGGAATATGTGTGGCATGCCTATAGGACTGTAAATTTAGAGCTGACACTTCTGAGTATTGTGCACTACCTCCCTCATGCAGTCAAGCCATTCTATGATTAACATCTTAGTAATTTATCAGTTTTCATAAATGTACATTTCCAATTACCTTACAATCCCATCAAATTAAACAGCTTCACCACTGATTTCAGTGTCTTTTTCAAGAGGAGACACCCATCCCCTATAAAGGAGTAAGTGCTTGTCTATGTCAGAACATCAACGTGTAACATAGACAAGGGTGAAGTTAACCAAGGGATTTATGTAGGACTCAATTTTGGTAGCTTGGCCGAAAATTCAATTCTATGGCTGACAGTGGGCAAATTAGCTCTGGTTCCCACAGGCAAGGACAGCAGCACCACAAGACAATATTGTCCAGAGCCAGTGACAAAAGTAGCACTGAGTTGTGCTCTTTTGAGGGAACAGCACAGGCTGGCCCCTCCATACAGCACCTCTACCCACCTTTCAGAAAATACTCACAAAATACAGTTCAACAGCCCGAAGCTAGCTCTTGCATGTGCTCCTGGCACCCCTCACTCTTCAAAACCCTTACAGAACTGAAAGCCAAACACTGCTATCTCCTTCCTCCCCTTTGACCGCACACTCTTCTGTGCTAGACAGAACGGCCCATGGCTTAAGGTCAATTCCATTTCCACTGTGAACGAAAGCTAGGAGACCAAGTCACTTTAAACCTTAGAGCTAAATTAAACTAAATTTAACTTACAGGTAATCTAAGTCTGACTTCGGTAGAAATTCTCCTCGAGGTAAAAATAAGTCAGTTTTGCTCCACGTAAAATATCTCATAACCTGCTTATCTGAAAAAAGTTGAAAGTGCTACTAGGACTCTGTGTGCCTTTAATAAATTACTACCAAATATTGCGCCACTTTGTTTAGCATGTAAATCTGGTTATCACAGCACTGCACTCTAAATCTGCCTTCCATTAAATAAAAAAATTAACACTTACTACAGGGATGATAGGTCTTAGTCTTTCCCTTTGACTGAATGTCAAAGCTTTCATTGGTATTTATACTAAACAACATAATCTGCGTCTGGAGGCTATCTTGCTGTTCAGAATACCAAACACAGGAGTGTGGTAAAATTAGATTAAAGAATCTCTGGTTTTGCTTCGTCAGTATTAACTTGATTCACCCCTGGAAACCTGTTGCTGCATTTGAAATAAGCAATGAGGAAGAGCAATGCATCATATCAAAATTGTCATTCTGAAAACAGCTTTGTTCCTCTTCACTTTTCTTTTAATGGTGTCATTTGTTCAGGCTACTAAGTGATTTTTGCAACTTCAGATATAGAAGACAGTGACCACTAACTGTCTTGATACCTTAAACTATCAGACCATGAAGTATCACTATTGGGCTTAAACTTCAGGATTAAAATTGCTTGCCTGAGTGCAGGTGTTTAAGCACGGAAGAGTACTTAACTGTCACCAGAAAAACTTAGGTTTGGAATATCAAGCTGAAAATAAATATTTTCTTTGGAAGATTTGCACTGCATGAGCATTGCTAATGCAATGCGTAGCCTCAACAATTCAATTGATTTAGCACAGCTGATACAATTCCGCAGCTGACACTCTCTAGAGGAAATCAGTTACTCTTTTGCTAAAATAAACCGTCAGAATACATTCTCAGATAACATAGATGCATCACAGAATAAAATCTTTTTCCCAAAATTTAACAGTGCAATGAAATACATCATTTTAATTCACTCTATATAGTAAGTAATATCAACTAGCTCTAGAATGGCACAGAGAGCTCTTCTATAACTTATATACAATGAGGGGAGAAAGGTATAGTGATCCTTTTGCTGATGTCCACCAGTATAACTCCAATGGATTTTGCTTAATTATCTGAATTAAAATGGGAAATACTCAGATTTTTCATACAACAATTAGTGCTGACAGTGTTTTCTGTTTCCCCTCTTTATAATTTTTTTTTATTTTGTCCCTCTTCTAACTAAAGAGCAGAAGACAAGACATAGCAGAATCTTCATCACTATTTAAAACATATCACACAATCCTTCTAAACTGATGCATGAATTAACTAATAATATTCCTGCATATGTTTTTGATTAGATACCATAAATCCTATTTAAACCTAGGACCTGTGTGTGTTGGGTCTGAATGTGAATCGTAACCTCATCTGGGTACATGGCAAGGAGGCTTTCATCAGTGTCCCTTTCTCCTCTCTTCATATTATTTCAGAGGCTTCCTCTCATACACGAACAATCAGTTCCAGCAGAATCCAGAAATTTTATAAGCTTAAGGCAGAAACTGTTTTATATTTTCAGCTTATTTGTAATGATGGCCTCATTATTTTTTCTCTTCTTGGTTATATTGATGTGAGGAGTTTAATAAAGCAAACAAATTCCTAACCATATGGTTACTTCTTCTTTGCACAGTTTGAAAGCTTAGTTTGACAGATTGTTGTCTCAGTGTTTAATAAAATATCAACACACACAGCACAGAAGAAGTGACATTCATCTCAGAGAGATCTCTTACGGTTCAAGTGCTAGATTGGAAGAAACCTCCTCAATATCCTACATTTGCTTTGAGACTACAACAGGTTTTTGTGCCCAGGCATCCAGATGTGAAGAAAGCATTCTTATGAAGATTAATTTATAGATTGTCAACTGAAATTTCAACAAACCTGAATAGCAAAGCATGGACGTAGCAACACAGTGCATGGACGTAGCAACACAGTACATGGCCTACAGTGTAAATTCTCTTCAAGTCACTACACCAGCTTTCCACAATCACCAAATCCAAGTCTTGATATGTAATTTAAAAATGGAGTCAAAACAGTCCTTAACACTCTGAGACAAAGTATTATGAATTATTTCATTCCCTTTAGGTGTGAGGGACTGCTCTGAATGGTAGAATTCTGCATAGCAGGCAGAGCCTTCAGGGCTGGGTCACAGCGAGGAACATTCTACCAGCAGAGCTGAGGATCTCCCACACTTCCTGCCCTAAGCATGGGGGCACCACGGTGTTGCTGCCTGTCCCACAGCACTTCACTAAATAGGCCCACACCTTGCTTAAAACTGACAAGAAATCTCTGCAACAAAGTACATACAACTCTCTTTTCTCATTTCTAGTAACTCCAGGGTTTGAACTAGATAAAAGAAGAATGAACCCGATGCAATCAGCATGAATCACAATCATTTAATGCACAACTTGAAGACAGTAAGGAATGCTATGCTAAAGTCTGCAGAGCAGTATGAACAGGAGGCCCAGGAAACATGCACACTAGCAAAATCAGAGTAATTCATAGCAAAAGGAATAACCTTAACTAGTTAAGGTTGTATTCTAAATTAGCTGTCATCACCTAGGAAAAATCACTACATTGTTGTAGACAGCTCAGTGAAAGCCTCTGCTCATTCTCTGGCCATGGCTGCAATAACTGATGAAGTGGTAGAATATATAAAAGATGAAATGTGTAATAATTGTACATGTGTCACAATGACATTTCCCATCCGGCCGCTCATGCTGTTGCTAGGAGTGTGACTGATGTGAGTTTTTACTGCAGTTGATGTGCAAGAATTGCTTATGGATTGACACAAGGGACTGAACCAGAGCAGCCTAAAGCTCAAAGCCTGAGCTGAGTCCTGGAAAGAAGACTCAAGATTTCTGACGACTCTCTCACCAGTGAAGTCTAAGTACATCCTATCTCACTGCATTACTCAGTAAAGTAGGTAGTAAACGGAAGAAAAAACGAGCCAAACTCATTTATTGTGTTAAATAAACTTGTAACTATTTGGTTCCTCTCTGGAGAATGAAAAGTTTTCAGTAAACTTTTTCCCATAAAACTAAAAAAAAAATAATAATAATCTATCTTGTTCAAAATGCACTGTGGTAACCAAAATCTTCTACCGCTGGGAGTAAAGAGTTTGTGGAAGCAAGAAAAGGTTAGTCAGTTGCAATGATTCAATCAAACTTACCTTCCATGTTAAGGGTACATCTTGCTGTAATAGTGCATTATTACCACTGAGTGTTATCTACTGAGGTAGGTCGAAATCCTGCTATCCTCGCACTCCAAATGAAGTCCTAACTGTATCCTATCCTGAACAAAGATAAAGGAAGTCAGCCTACAAAACACTGAGCCTGCTCATATGCTGTAGTGGTTTGCCCCTGGCTGGTGGCGAGGGGCCCACCACAGCCGCTCTATCACTTCCCCTTCTCAGCTAGTCAGGGGACAGGAAAATATAACGAACGGCTCATGGCTCAGGATAAAGACAGGGAGATCCCTCAGCAATTACCATCACGGGCAAAACAGACTCGACTTGCTGAAATTAACTGAATTTATCACCAATCAAATCAGAGACGGGCAAGAAGAAATAAAATAAAATCTCAAAAATTACACCTTCCCTCCACCCCTCCC